ATTCAAAATATTTATTTTCCTACAAAGTGTTTAAATTATTAATAAAAACATATCGTCATATAAGAAGTCCTCGTTTTCATTCATGTGCGTTGATTACAAAGTTTCTGACATATTAATGTATGTTTCTGGATAATAAAAGCCCAAATCTTTGTTTTTGTCATGCATCAAAAAGTTTCGTGTACCAGGTACTCGTATACTTTGACAGCAATGTGAGAGAAATCCTCATTTGTTTTTTTTTTGGAAGCCATTGTAAAGTGTCCAGTCTGTCCTGTGTAAGAATGCGTTCGTCCATCATAAACAGATGATGGAGATGAGAGTCTCGGATTCCAATACTAGAAGGCCTGCTGCTGTCTAATATTCTTGTTGCTTACAAAATGCTGCTCTGCACGCTCGCGGGAGTTAAGTGCGCAGCATGCGTGGCTTGCCACTGACTGGTTGTAATCTCTTCTATCCCCCCTCATTTTCCCTTTGACGCGTCCTTCGTTAGCTATAGCGACTACACTACCCAAGTTTCAGTCAGTCGAGTTCTCGAGAGCGGGAAAACGAGAGAAGTAGTGCTGCTTTCTGTTGATACAAATTTTCGGAGTCTCTGCGGGCACGTTTGAAATATGTGGTATTTTTGAATGCTATTTTTAAGCGTAATTGATTGAAACAACATAACCATATTGACTGTTGGTTAGGGAGTTGGATAATATAAGTTCAAACAGCTCTAGCCCGATGACGTTGGTATGTTTATTCTGATCTTGGCCACAATCTTGCAGTTCATGCAGCTAGATTGTCTGGACACTTATATTTTGCCTTTGACCTTGACGTTATTGTAACACGTGAACAATGCACAACATTCGTCTGATTATTTCTGGTCTTTGAAATTGACTGACAGTGAATGAGTGAAGCGTGACTTTTGGCGGAGACTACGGCCAGCATGAAAAACTTCACAATGGTGTTTTTGGGGTTAGTCCTGCTGTTTTGGTCGCGGGAACTCGGAGCAGGTCATGCAGCGGAAGAGTTGGAAGACGGTAGGTGAAGGTCGTCCTTCCTGTTGTTGGTTCTTATCTTTAATTACTTGTTTAGTCTTCTTTTATAACATGTTATTTTCAGCAGTTTTACTAAAGGTATTTTTTCTTGCCTGGCCATTTTAACGAAGATTTTAGATGGATCACAGACCTAGTTATCAGTAGCTGACACAATATATAACACAAATGAACTAGTAACAAACATTGCGAACATATTTTTATCTGTTGATCATTGTTTCAAATGAGTTGGTTACCTAAACAGCTTTCTCTTAAAACATATAAAAATAGGTTACAACTTGTTCTATATGTCATACTTGCGTTGAACTTGCAGGCATTTTCGAAATTACTTTGTTTGTAACCCAAGCAGGCCTTCTAGTTCGACATACAAATATAGATGTATAAATACATATCTAAATACGGAAATAGAGTATGTAAAATGTGATTAAAAATAATGATGCTTGAATACGGAAAAGTGCATCACCAAACTTAATACAAGTTCCGTGTTTTAGTTCCAGATTTTAAATAACAGACTTAGCACACTTTTTACATCTTAACTTTCTAAGTAAAATATAGAGTGGGAAAGACCACGTGATCCGCACTAGATGTGTCAACTCTTGTCGGAACACGCCCACCTAATTGTCTTGTCTTTCTATGATAGCCAAAGGTTCTTCGCGTTTGACTAGAAGAGAAGCCTTTTTTGCAGAAATATCACTCCCCTTCTGTTTATGAGACATTTTTAAAGTAACTGATTACATGATAGAAATATCGATGTAATTTAATTTTAACCATACGTATTATATTTTGATGGCGTGACATCGAAGTTATTTAATTTACACAATTAAAAGTGTTTTATAATAATTTTTATTGTAGCACTGTTTAATCTAAGTTTAATAAGATTTGTCAAAATAATCTCGTTACTTTGTGCAGTAGGTTGCAAAATTTAAAGTCGATATTTTTGGATAAAGAATGATGAAACATTAAAACTACTCTCGAAAAGTAATGGCTAATGGAAAGAACCGTCAATTGTTTTCGAAATAAATGTGATATTTCACTAAATAAAATTATTGTAAAATGTGCGATGTCGAATTTTTAAATATTTCCTTGTTTGTAAATAATGAACTTTGTAACTCCCCACCCCGAGTTTCTACAAAAGTACGAAGTTCTTCAAGATGATAAATCTGAGACTCTCCCCTCACACAATCTTGTTATATTAGAAGGCTAGGGTACTCTAAAGGTTATGGTGGGTCACTGGCTTGAACAAAGCTGCCGCTTTATCGACGAAATGCGGCTGACAACCCAGGGGACGGGCCGATGCACACCTGCACTGTTCTGGACTAAAACCCCGAGGCTCACGCGGGTATGTGAGCAACTTGAGTTAGGACTGTAAGGGGCAAAAATAATGACGAATTCATGAGCTGTACGGAAGGGGTGGGACTGAAAAAATTATCTCGCCAAAAGGGATACCAGAACAGTGTGTATTTATTATGCCGAACTTTAATGACGTTGGTTTTGCGTGAGGTAAAATATGTAAAATGACTAGGAAAATTACCCATAATTCCAACGTCCTAACCATGACAATAGCATAAGTGGTTTATAGCAATACGTGACCATATTTCTGTTGCTAGTAGTTGTGTGCTTAACGAATACAAGTTAGTTTACTGCACACCCACAAATTTCTCAATCTTAAGGAAAATGATTAAATTTTTTAGAACAGACTTACTAAAGTTGCACCGTTATATGCAACGTCAGAATTCTCATATTGCTCTTAGTGTTACAGATACTAAAAATGCAAGGATCTCATTGTGGTAGTGGATACGCTAATTAAACAGACCTCTCAGATACCGTTATTGTTGCTTGTAGTTACTACATCTATGCTTTTCCAATAATATTGCCACAGCTACAGCTTTCAACGATCTTGTCCAAAATATGCTTGCTTCGGGCATTCGGGAATTACTTCTATATTAAATCATTCAGTTAAGAAATTCTGGCATTATTATACAAAATGAAATATTTCCAGCTTGTTATCACTGATGTACGCATGCTACAAAATTTTAAATTATTTCGTACAAAGTACTCCAAAATCAAAATGAATAAGAATAACTTAGTGTCTGCTTTTCAACACTAGTGTTGATACTGGTAATTACACGAACTCTACTCCTTTATGTTCATGTTTATCTGCTGGTTAATCCATGAACTATAACTTGTATTTAATTCAGATTTTTACTAAATGCTTTGTACAGTATAAAACTGTTCACTCTTTAAAATGTTATCAAGTTTGTATAAAGATTACTACTTCTATTAGATTACTTTCTATCTTATTGAAATCTTCTTCTAGTGTAATACAGGTTATGAATCCTAAGAAGTAAATTTTACATTTACTTTTGTAATTTACAGTTACTTTAAAGATGACTGTTAGATTTCTATTTAGTAAATAAACAAATTGTAACCATTTTT